TAAACTCGTCCAGAAGGTTTAAGCTGGCGCACAAGACTTCCATTAGTTCCACGCAGCGAGGCTCTGCAGCGAGGCTCTGCAGCGAGGCCTTTCCACGGGGTCGTGATGTTTCTTCATCGGGCGAGGAGGGTAAGGTTCCCCTGAACGTGGCTCCAATTCTTTGTCTTTGGCATGTTTCCTCACATTCCTGGGTAATTTCTGAGTACATGTGCCCTCACACACACACACTCACACACTCTGGATGCGTCCTGTCCGGAGCGAGGACCTCTGACCAATCCCTCGCCCGCTGAGAGCTGCAGTCATTGTCACACAGAGAAAGCCATTCATGCTGCTTTTCATTCCTGCAGTCTTGTGCACAGCTGGCCGGGTGCAGGGTTTGTCTTTATAAACGCAGCAGGCCCGAGCACGTTCCCCCCGGCCCTGAGGCGCTACGTGCAGCCGACTTCTTGCCTCACTATTCATACTGAATTCCTCCACACACGTCTACTACCCCATTTATCCCAAACACAGCTTTTATCAACAAGCTGCAGTCTGATATTGACTTTTATTCTTTAAAAACATGTAGATATACTCCTTCCTCTGCGAGCCCAGCGTGTGTAAAGTTTCTTCTGAAGTCTCCACTGAAAGCTCTCAGGCTAAGATTACAGTACAGATGGTTATCTTAGCGGGTCGTCTGCAGATCAGGCCGTGAACATCAAAGCGAGGTGTTCGTCTGTATTTTGAAACATTAGGGTCGAGCTCAAATTGATGACATACCTCCACCACTCCCCCCCCTCCCTCCCTCTCTCCCCTCGGTATCTTTTTCTCTCGACAGGCTCCACGTGTCTGGAGAGCAGGCAATTACTCGTCCAGCCTCCTCGCTTTTCATCTCCCATTTCTTCTCCCCTCCTCGAGCAAAAATTTCATTCCTGTGCAGGAGGCTGATCGGAATACAGATTTAAAGATTTAGAGGCGGTGAGAAATCTTTAAAAGAAAAACGGATCGGAGCGTTCAGCTGGCGAGAAGGGGGGAAACTTGTTGCATTGGCTGCAAGGCGTCGGGGAGGCTCTGCATGTTGTATTTCTATTTCCAGGGCTTCCTCTCAGGCGTGTTTCAGACGATGCAAAGCACCATATTAGTGGTATATTGTGAAGGATCCAAAAGGGCTCGTTAGGCATCACCAAGATATGATTGTTGGTTTTTTTGCCTCTATTTCTGTAACGAGAAGGAACTGAGGTCCAACGTGCTCGCGCTGTTTGAGACTCCCTCAGTTTGACGTCTCAGTACACACGAGGTCGAGCTGTGGGAGAAAGAAAACAAGAGGCGGGAAGAAGGCCGTGGAAACTTGGATGGATTCATGTTGTAGTAACTGAAGAGCGAGCTCAGCTGTTCTCCAGCTTCTTTCAGGGTTACTGCAAACTTTTTAAAATCAAATTTAAGACTTTTAAAGACATCACACAAAGAGAAAATGAACGCCATCTTTGCACCACATTTCATGTCAGGACTCAGCGGCTTTGATTCCCAGTGTCCAAAGTTTAAATGTTTATTTGCATATCTCACAAGTTGCATCATAATCATCGTTTTCCCCCCGTCAACTTTCCCTCGTATTTTTCATCTTCAAGCCAAATTTTCTTTGACTTGAATTTGCCCAAACCTCTCCTTCATCTGTCTTCTGTTCACAGATTGTGAATGTGAACGCTGCCGTAGATGCTGTGTTTCATCATGTGAAGCAAACCTTCAATAAAGAAATATTTAAAAGAATAAGAAGCAATCAATGCAGTTGAAAAAGATGAATGCATTTATTGTATTTCAGCCCATAATCGAGATTTGTTAACGCTGACTAATTTCAATTTAAAGAACAATATAATGAAAGTAATGAAGATTATTGCTCCGATGCAAAATGATTAAGAGAGTATGACCTGTATGTGGCTACAAGTTGACCCCGTCAGGATGAGATGTTTTAACCTGACGCCTCCTTTCTGTGGTTTCCCTTCATTGATTCCTTTTAAATTGTTCATCATGTTACAAGTACGTGTGGAATAAAGGAACAACAACTTCAAGGAACCATCTTTGCTGCGTCTTATTGTCTCATCTATTTATGTGCAAATCCTGATGTCGGGAGGGAAGCGTGCAAGACAAATTCAACCCCAGTAAGTCAAAGTAACAAGTCAAATATTTCAGATGTGGAGGTGAAAGTCAAAAGCTCTAAGAAACAGAACAGAAGCTGTTAGTGCCGTTACACCTCGTTGTCTGTGACCACTTCACAACGGGGGAATCTTTTTGTTTTTGTGGTGCAGATGTGGCAGAGTCGTTTTTAGCTTCACTCGCTTTCACTCTCTCAGTCGCTCGCTCACTCTGTTACTTTATGGGTGGTGTAGCACAATGCAGGAAGTGTCTGGGCCGCGAAAACCGCAGCACACTAACGGCACAGCTACCCTAATTAAAAGTATTCTTCTTCTTTGCTCTGCTAATCTGGACGCCGAGAGGTTTCTTATCTCGTCCCTCATTCTTGAACTTCACCCCAGCAGCTCAGGGGCGGAGCTGTTGACACAGACCTGCATCTCAGTGAGTCACTGGAGGAGTGGCGGGGAGGGGGGGGGGGGGGTTGGTGTAACATGTGCCTCGGTGTACAGCTGAACAAACAGGTCAAGTAGCTGCGGAGCATCTGAGAAGGCAGGGTGACTTACTTAACCCTCTGCTAACATCGCTGACATACTGCAGAGATCTGCAGACGCACCATCTGAGGCAAAACAATGACGGAGCACATAAGCAAACACTCGACACATATAGTACACTAATGCAATCTGCATTGTGTTGTATGGGGGGGGGGATTGATCCCCCGCTGCTCTGCGTTCACATTAGTAACATCGCTCTGCGCCCGAGTTCACTTGTGTATGTACACAGTCGGATACAGCAGGGGGCAGTATGCACGGAGTTGGTTTGCAAATCTGCCAAGAAGAAGGAATAAGAAGTAACCATGGCAACCAATCACAGGCTGAGTCCATCCTGCTAACTGTGGATGTTTGTGTTATTTCTGAGACGCCAACAACGACCCTCTTCCTGCGTCCACATCTTACCGTGCAGCTCAGAGGATGAAACGGGCCCGTGCAGCGCAGATATGACCGTTTTTGAAGCGACACCAGCAATTTGCAATTACAACCAAATATCGATCCACTTCATGTTTGAGCACAGTTGCGTTCACATCCCCCGCAGACTGTACTAGAGTCCTCATGAATCCAGGAAGCCCGACTAAAAATTGTCGACAAAAAAACTCGGTCTCAGCTCCATACACTGTCTGGTTTTAACCCTGTTTGTGTTGATGTGAGACACTGGCATGGAGGAGCTGTAGCACTGTCAACGGGGTTGGTGGCCCTTAGGTGGTGAAGGGGGGGTGGGGTCGGCATGAGCACGGAAGCCACACGGCCGTGATTCACCGTGACAGAAGCGCCTGGCATGGACAGCAGCCGGGCGGGCGAGGCTGCTGCCTTTGATCTTTATTTGCTGCACCGTCTGTTTTGCATTTAAGAGGCTTGCTGAGCGCGAGGCATTGGATACACCTTGAATGGCTCGGGACCCCCGTCCACTTTTTTAAAGACCCCAGGATCCTTTTTCAAAGCTGAGGGGATCCAGGACAGAGAGGGATGACGGCTGAAGGAGAAGGGGTCTGCGCTGAATAGAGCTGAGGGTCTCCCAGCAACACAGATTAGCTGTGATGAAAAGAGATAATAACACACGATCGAGCTAATGGAGAGAGCTGAGAGTGAGGGTGAGGGGGCAAGGTAGCATATAACTCCTCTTAAATAGACCCTCAACCAGGGGTCAGGGGGGCTGTGGAACCAAAACAAACACACACAGCACCTCCTCCAATGACCTTCTGCAGCTCCTCCTGACCTGTCAAACTGATTTTGCACAATTTGATGTCAAAAGACTGAGACGTCTCACACCTGACAGGCCTGATATCTTAAATATGTGGCTCTATCTCTCCACCAGGCATGATGCTCTGACAGGGAGGCATCTCTGTCTTCAAACGCTGAATATATTTATCCTCTTCAACATCTCTATTGCACATTCCTGAATCACACAACACTGGCCGTGATCCAGAGGCAGCAGCTGGACAAACTCTCGCCTCAGAGATTGAACCGACTCTTAGAAAGTACTTACCCCTCTCTTCATTAATTTGATTGTATTTTACCCATAATATTAACGTTAGAAAAAAGGGGGACGGCTGGTTGCTTTGGCCTCGTCCACACGTAGCTTTTTCTGAGCGTTTCTACATTTTTTTGACCCTGTGCAGGACCTGCTTGAACCTTTCATTCATTTAAAATCAACTTTTGTGCCTTAAGAGTTAGAAATATAGACAATGATGTCATCTGCATAAAGTTGTAGTTTTTATATTTTAACAGTGCAACACAATTAAGTTATTGAATTCAAAGTTATTTATATAAATCTGAAATAGAATAGGACCCATTACGGTTCCTTGTGGGACACCATTTCGCACATTAAAAATGCTAGAAAAAAACATCAACTTCAACATTATTTATTTTAAAGAAATCGGGTCGTTTCCCAATCTTTTCACGTTTTTTTAGTTAGGTTGATGGGAGTCCACACTTGCTTGTATGCTTTTAAAGAGTTTTAAAAATGTGAGACACTCTAGAGAATGGAAACTGTGTAGAACATTAACAAAAGTAGCTGAGGAAAGGTGTATTCTTTTGTGTGTGTTGGAGGGAAGCCCAGCAGCCATTTTGGAAAGTCATCGAGGATCTGCTTCATGCTGAAATGTTTCGGCATGCTCACCAGCCCTTCAGCAGAATACCTTTTTCCACTTCTGACCAGCATGTAATTTATTCCCAGACTATACATTTATAGCAGTGCACAGACACATAGTGATATTTATACCGTCTGTCAGAGCATACACCGACAGCTCTACTTAAAGAAATATACATCTTTCTAAGAAAAAAGGTACGGTTCAAAGTAAAGGTTTCAAGTCATGGAGTTTAAAGGATTGAAGACAGACACAGACATGTAGCAACATAGACTTTTTTATTCACTTTTTGAGCAATGTAGAGAGCTGTGCACATATTCCCTTAGATTAGAAGTGTTTATATTATTTGTATTTTCAAGTAAAGAATAAACTAGCTCTGATATGGATTCTTAAAGCCTTTGCACACGGGTCAATTGTTTTTGGATTCGTTTTTTGAAATCCATAACCTGAAGAAAAAAAAAACATTACTCACAAACCGCCATCATTTTCTACTCAGTATGAGACAAAACGTCGGTGTGCAAAGGCCTTGAATTCAAAATGATTCTCAACTTTTTGTTTAACTCTCAAAAGCACCATTTAATGGCTAAATGCATACGTAAGATTTAGCTTTTCTTATAGCTATAAAATACATGTCTCTGTGAATGTGACTATAGAAATATATAGATTGTATTTCCTTCTAACAGTCGTGTTTGTTGGTGGGAGTAAATGCTGCTACCTGAGCACTACTATCAGCGTGACTGGAGGTGCATAGCTCCCCGTTTCAGTCTGAGAACAGAGAGTGGTGGTTACAGCGAGGTTTCCAACATGCAATAGGTATGTATTCACATTTTTTTTTAAACAATCAAAGCAAAGCATTCTGCAGCAAAAACTAATGCTACATTAAACAATATGCTGAGAGATTAATAACTACATGTGTGTGCGAGTATATGGAAGTAAATTTGTATGAATGTATTAACATTACTCTTCATCTCTCCTAGCTTTAAATGCTTAATCAGGCATTCTACAGGGTGCAATCTGACATCTTCTGAAAGGGATACTTCAGATTTATTCATGTTGGGCTCTATGAGGTACTTATCAATAACACTGACAGAAGATGGCCGTCAGTATGGAGCTGTCTGTAAAGGCCAAAGACTATAAATAAATGGACAGCATGCCTCATCCACTTCTGGTTGAACAGGTTGAAGTCAAATACACAAAGATACGTCCCACCACTTCCACTGATGAAAACACATCTTAACCTTATTAATAAACAGATTAAAAGAGCTGTCAATCACAGCATTTTATAACGCCATAGTACTGAATAACTAATACAAATCTGAATGTTATCTGAAAAAAAGATGACTTAATCACAAAATGGTGTGATAATAATCATCATGACGAAACTTGGCTGGAGAAAAGTGCATCTGACAGCATCTGTTAACATAGAGGAGGCGGGGTTTGTGACTTATCCTTCAGCCAGTCAGCAGGGGGAGCTTTAAATCTTTTGGCTTCACTTGAGGCGAGGTGTTCCGCTGTCCATTCTATATACAGTTTTTGTCACAAAAGCTAAACTATGCACCACTGTGGAGAAAAACGTACTTTAGCCACCCAGTCCAAAATAAACAAATAAAAATCCACAAATTAATGGAAGTTATTTGTTTCTTTGAGAAATAGCCAATCAGTGGTGGTCTTGACCGTTGTTGATTTAAAATCTGGAGTCCGCCCAGTCAGAGGCCGAGACAAGACCGGGTAAAAATGCTTTTGATTCCGGAACGAGACCTTCAAGAAGTCGTCTCCAGACTGCTCTTAAGACCAAGACCGATTTTGAGTACTACAACACCATCTTTTGGTTTATTATGCCATAAAAGCAATTTTTAATGAAGTCCGTTATGTGTTTTTATTTTGCTCTAAACTCCATCTTTATTTCTTAGTTTTAGCATCTGTAGTCCAGACTGCTTCTCCAAAGAGAGGCACTGCCGGCCGCCATCTCCTGTAGGTGATAAACTGACCAATGATAGGTACCTATACAACCCCGCTTAAAATCACAAGAACCATCCCTTAATATGTGAAAAGTTTGATAAGAACAAAACGAGTTCTTGCTTTCAAAAATAATCACATCTGTTCAGAAATACAAAACAAAACAAAAAGTTGAACATCCACCCTGTTTTCCTAAGTCATAGCTTATGTACAAAAGGGAGGAAGTGACTTAAAGTAGGATAAGAGTAACAAAGAGAGAATGGTGCATCAAGGCAATGGTGCATCAAGTCTAATCCAGATGACACTGGATAGATGGGGTGGGGTGCATGCTGGAGGCAGACTGTGGCAAAGGGAAGTCCTGTAAGTGCACTAAGTAGAAGATAACACCCCCAACTCCTTCCTGGACCCCTGTTGAAACAGCTAAAGCTTATTACTTCTGGCATCAAATAGGTATTGTGGAGGCGAGGGATGTGTGTGTGTGTGTGTGTGTGTGTGTGTGTGTGTGTGGTTGGAGAGGAGGGAGGTGTTTGTACTGGCGTATTGCTGAAGAAGCCCACAAGGAGGAAGAACGCCGCTCACTCAGCCACGCTCATCAGTCGACACACACCTCCCTCGATGGCCAGACACTGTCCAGGAACGGTCCCGGGGGGTAATCTGGAAATGTGTGTCTGCAGGAAAAAAAACAAAAAAAAACACACATATAATGACAAAAACATCTTAGGACAGAAATACACATCGAAGCCAAGAGATAAAATGTCCTGCTTTTCCAAAAGGGGTTTCCAAACTCTAAAGGTCCAATCAGTGAGCTGTGTAGAGAGTGAGATGATAAAGGTATCTTACTATCTGATCATTAAGGAAACATGCTATGTTGAAGTGCTGGCTTCTCTGACAACAATGCAGCAGCCAGTATGTCCTCCTTCTAACTTTAGATTCTGCTCCTGAATGCTCTGGATTTGTTTGGACCAGAGAAGGTAGGCGCTTTTAAGACACACCCCCCCACACAGCCGTTTTGGACGCCCCTCGGTTTGCCAGATATGAGAACAGTTATCAGGTCAACAGGTGTTGCAGCGATGGAAGCGGTCAAGAGAAGTGGTTCAGATAGAAGTGATTGTACCCGACCTAAAAAGCCTCTGCATGTTTCTAATAAGCTCCACGAGCAGAAACGTGCTCAAACTAGGATCAATATTGGAGATGCTTTTGAAAAATGGAGAGAGGTTAGAACACAGAAAGGTTTACAGACCCATGCAGAGCTGGATAAACACTGAAGCTTCAGAGTCCACCACATGGTGACCTGTGTGAGCATCCACTCAAGAGAGGAGGGGGGGGGGAGACAGCTCTCTATGATGTTTAGAATCTGGACTGCCGTACCCATTTTAAACACTAGGTGACATAGTTACATACTGCTCCTTTAAGTCTTTCTCTCTCTCTCTCTCTCTCTCTCTCTCTCTCTCTCTCTCTCTCTCTCTCTCTCTCTCTCTCTCTCTCTCTCTCTCTCTCTCTCTCTCTCTCTCTCTCTCTCTCTCTCTCTCTCTCTCTCTCTCTCTCTCTCTCTCTCTCTCTCTCTCTCTCTCTCTCTCTCTCTCTGACTGAATTGGCCTGCCATCACTCCTCCAGTCACAGGAGCCTTCATCTCCGCTGGACTTCTTTTCTCTGTAGGTTTGTGATATGGCCTCCCTGGCACCCTGAGGGCAACCGTCACCACAATGGGACGACAGCCAGACAGACAGCGCCATGCACACATGGCAACACTCTCAGGGGGCCATTACGCCTCCAGGACCCCTTTCCGGGTTCTTCTTCCTCTCCTCCTTCATCTTCTAAAGGTTAGGGTAAAGGAAGCCCGTTTGACTGTTTCAGCTGTGTGATCATAATGGAGTAATATACGTGCTGAATGTTTTCTCTCTGATGTTGGAACGAGAGGTCTTTGCATTGCTCAATTTTTTTCTCACCACATCGGACACACAGCTGGAAAAACAAAACCCGGCTCACTTTGCGGCGAGCTGTGTGCCCTCAGCCTCACCACCTTCATACAACCTTTGTCACAAGTCCAGCTCTTAACTTTCAGTTTCATTCTGACAGGACGGACAACATGAGCGAGTGAGAAGGAAGAGTCAAAGAGTTACTAAAGTAAACCAGACTAATTACAGCCCCCACGGCGTGAGAAGCACGCCATGCTTTTCGCCTTCTTTATGAGTCACGGTGGCGAGGGTGAGGAGTGCTTCAGGCTCGGAGGTCACACCACAGATGTCCTAACGCTTTTTGTGACACCCGGTCTGGTTAGCATCACGCTAATAAAGCTGTAGCATCACGTGTAAACACTCGTTTACTTATTTGTATCCACTCAGACGCACGCTGTTTTTGATGTGGCAGCCTTCACCATAACTCATGTTTCCTGTTTACTATTTTAATGACTCACACGGGTTAAATAAATTCTGCTGGATTTTCACTATTTGTGTCCGTCCTGTGCACTAAGAGAGTAAAGGCGCTGCACTTGTGTCTCGTCTCTATGACAACAGCCGTTGTATGACGGGCACTGCTTGGGATTGGTTTCCCTTCACTGTGAGCATCAAACGGACGATGTTTGTCCTCCTACTTTGTCTGGAAGATGGCCTCGCTCACCCCCTCTCTCCATCCAAGCCAAAAACCAGGTGAACAGGTCAGTGCGGCTCATATAATCACTGCCATCACCACGAGATTTCCGGTGAACACACCCACCACCAGGAACAAGCAGACTGTAAACAATAAACAAATCAGTAAACAACCCATGACACCAAATACACAATCGACTTACATTTATGGCTCCTACAACGGCTAAGATCAGAGACGGAGCGAGGAGGATGTGGGTACACGACCCGACCCGTAGGAGACAAAAATACGGGGAACATCATCGCCTATCTACTATATGATTAGAGGGTTTAAAAGAGCGATGGTGACGACAACAGCGCCCTTCCAAAAAGTTGATTAATTTTCAACTCAAAGCGCTCCGAGGGGCCGCACAGAAAAGGCAGAGCGCTTGGAAAAATGACTCTGAGCGCTGCATCTTTTCTCCTGGCGGCCATCTGCTGCAAACGAGACATAAAAGAGGATCACATAATGAAACAACACAAAATGAAATTAATAAAAAAGGCATTAAATATTTGAAATTTGCATTAAAAAGGCATAAAATATTATAAAATAGCAGTGAAACATAACCCAATAGATGCTCATTCTAAATGCTAAGAAGTACGTTTTAAGCTTACTTTTAAACATATTTAGTGAGCTAGCCTCCCTGATATCTAATGCTAATGTGTTCCATATCTTTGGTGCGTAATTAGCAAAAGCTGCAATGTGTGTTATATATATGTTTTTAAGTTGTATTTTTGGCCATAATCGGATAGGACAGCTGAAGAGAGACATACAATGACGGGAGAGAGTGCAGCAAAAGAAAAAAACCTCCGGCCGCCGCAACGAGGACTACAGAGTCCGTACATGGGGCATGTTAGGTAACCGCTAGGCTATCTGGCGCCCCTAAATGTGTGTTAAATTGACTCAAAAGTCGCCTATAGTAACACACCTTTTGTTTCAGCGTTACAAAGAATCCCTGGGATTAAAATAGGAGCGCAGGAATGTAGAATTATATGACAGCTGGGGTGAATCCACAAAAAGAAATAAAAAATGAAGACACGCAAACTTACAGAGAGTCTGTTGTCAAGTCATTACCCAGTGACTGAAGTGACCACATGACAGGACCACGTCGGAGTCAAAGCACAACATGAAAAACACAGTTCCATTGTATCTGACGGTGAAAAACAACATTCTTCTGTGATATGAATGTGTTTAGGAGCTGGAGGAGCCGCACATTAACACCACAGAGCAGGCCAAAGGATAAACTTAGCCCCATGACTGCGTCTGTTTTTCTGTTTTTTTGTGGTTTCACATTCTTTTCAGAATGCTATTTTTTCTTCATACGAGATGGATAATAAAAAACAACATGCACCATAATGGAAGACATTTGTCATGTAGTACACAAAGCAGACAATAAACAGGAGCCTGAATAGCATGCCATTTGATTTCCTCTGGTCGTACACAGTTTGAGCAGCCGAAGCTTTATAGTGGTAATGATGTCTAGGAGGAGGGATCTGAGCCGCGGTGGATCCTAAACACTTGGCTTTCATCTGTCCAATCACAAAGAACAATAACACAATAGTGCGACTGTTTCAGAAGCGCCGCCACCAGCCTGTCAATGCTGCTTTTTTGTGCCTCTGTAAAACAGTTCTTGATGTTCTGATGTCCTCTCCAGTGCAAACACAGGTGAGCGATTGAATGAAACCAGATGCTCTCCCCGCTGCAGAACGGCCCCTTTGCAGCCATTTTACAGCCGAGTGTCAAAAGAATTACGATACAGATTCAACCTTTCCCAAAAACAACATCTGATTGAAAAGGGAGACAAAACTCAGGAGGAGCTGCCAGCACTGTTTGAAAAACTGGCCTGACATCCAACACATTTCTCTGGCTGAACTATTGCATGATTCACTGTTCTCCAGGGTTTATAAAATGTCGTTTGTCAGAAGAAATATACACATTCAAATGTGAGGGATAAAACACTGTGAAAGGAGGAGAGGAGCCGACTTGCTGCGGTTATAAATCCTGTCTGACCTCTGTCCCAAATACTCCAGCTACTGTGCATCAGGCCTTTCATGTTCTTATCACAGAAAAGCAGTGGAAGACGGACTCTGACTGGCTGCTTAGAAAGGCCCAGTGGGATGCTCAGAGGAATGGGAGGAATGTCTGTAGAATAGCAGCTGAGGATGTGGATCATCCTGGCTCTATATGTCTCTGAGAGTCAGTGCACCTGAGCTCCAAATGTGTCTGAGCTTAAATCAGGATGAAGTCAGACAGCCTGTTAAGGTGCAAACAAATCTTTTGTCCTTATCAAGTTTTTTTTTAGAAAGAAGAAGTTGAAGAAGTCTTCATTGGACTTCCTGTTCTGCTGCAGCTTACTCACCAGCATCAACCCTCATCTGCACCACTCCCAGTGCTACACTGACAAAGACTTACCACGGGGAGGGAGGTTAGATATTTCTCTCTCTGCTTTTTTGTTTGTTTGTTTTTCAGGGGAAGAACATCCCCGTTTTGATGTTTGCCATCAACACAACTGACATGCAGACAAACCTCACGCCTCCAGAAAACTTTCTTCACTGAGTTTACAGACAAAGAAAAAAAAATACAGAATATGTAGGTAGCACAGGACCAGATTTTGGTCTCATTCAGACATTCTATAAACCCCTATCTCTGGTTCCATTAGCATGCTGGTCAAGTTGGTCTGATGTAAATCATAAATGGACTTGAGGTTGTTTATTTATTTTCTAGTCTTCTGACTCCTCAAAGTGCTTTTACATCTACACATTCACACACTGATGGTAGAGGCTGCTGAGTAAAGAATCCATCAGAAGTTACGAATACATTCATACACATATATATGCCGCCACCGAAACAGAGGGAGCATAAGTGTCTTTGCCCGAGGATACATCGGACATGTGACTGCAGGAGCTGGGGATCGAACCCCCGACCTTCCGGTTGAGAGCTGACCGACTCTACCACTGAGCCACAGTTGCCCTGTGTACAGTATGGATGAATCATTACTGTATTAAGGAGGCAGAGGGCTATACACCATGTATCAAGCCACATTACAAAGCCACCACACTTTAAAATATCAAGACACATAATGTAACATATTTCTGCTTTGTGCCTAATTTTGCACCCAGATGAAACACCAATTAACTGGGAAAATGAGGTTGAGCATGCTCTACATGCTGTAGCACCATGCACTGTAGACCAACAGCTCATTTCTAAAGGATCCAGAGACTGAACCTTGTGGTGGTTAACTTGACAGCTTAATGTCTTGCAGTGCCTCTCTACTTCTGGTGGTTTCCCATCTTTGGCTTTTTGATCTTCAATAGAGGATTTGATCTTCACAGAGCAGATGCTCTTCTATGGTTCCCCCCTTAATAGACTGGCCATGAAGGACAGAGCTGCTAGCTTCCCCGGTATGCAGATTGTCAAATCCACAGAGGCCGCTCCACATGGGAGTTTTGTAACCTTGACCCCCAACAACTAGCTGCTCGGTCTCTGATAGAGCGCTGTGAGGTTTGGTGCAGCAGCTGTGTTCTTGGCTGCTCTCTCCAATATCACCGTGTCACTAAAGCCCCGCCGAGAGGAAGTGGATACCATTTCCCGGGAGATCCGGAAACCACAACTGACAACTGAATGATATTCTTGGATCCGCACACGCTGAACACATTCGGTTTATGAAGAGGATTTTGCATGGCTAGATTGACAAAGTGATGGTTCACCACATGAGCTCAAGGTGTTTACTTCTATCATTCTGTTGTGCCAAGAATGAGGATGTTTCAGCGGTTTAAACCTAAAGTCATAGTCTGCACGGGGTTAAGATTTAGCCACCTCGGCCACTTTGGGTAAAGAAAATGTGTGAAACAAGGGAAGGGTCAGGAATTGGCATTTCTTTTTCAGATGTCTGAAGAGTATAGGCTATAGGCTGACCACTTATGTCATTATCATCTGGCTAACAGCACATCTTAATTCTAATGTCTCACACTTCTGCAACTGCAACCTATTTTTACTGATCCCACATGCAGTGGCTATTTCAGCAGAATAAAACAGCTGTTGAATATCCAGAGGAAAAACACTGGGATTTTCAATAATGTATCTCAAGAGTCTTTTTCAGACTGTTGTCTGTTCATTTATTTATTTGTTTGTCTCGTCACTTTGTATTATCATTATTATTGTATTTTTTTTGATACTACTCTTTTCAAATTTACTTTTATTCTTTCACGCTTATCTATTTATTTTTATTAAGTTATTGTATTTTATTTTTTTCTTGCACTTTAAACTAAGAGGTCTATTTGTTGGACTGGGAGGGTTGTTTACAGGGAGAAGTGATACTGGGTTTTTGAATGTTTCTGGGGAAAAAAAGAAAAATGTTGACTGCATCCCAATTGCACTGTATGTCTTGAACTTGCTTTAATAAAAATATGTTGGAGAAAAAAAAAGGGTCCTTTTCAGACTGCTTTTTTTTTTCTGCAAAAGTGCCGTAACTAAGCTCAGCTGTCATCACGTCTTGATACATTTATATTGATTCTGCAACAACGTAATATTGGCATCCTAGTCTGTGAATTCATATTGCTTGTCTGCGTGAGACTGCTGAAACCGTCTCAACTCTGTTACTACCTCTGAAGACTGTAGAGAGGAGGGGATTACTTCGTCCCCCCTTTATGCCTCCATGACATTCAGATTGAAAAAGAAACGTCACAGGGGCGTAAATATTGCGGCGGTCTGAAAAGGGTTAATGACACAAGAGATATTTTCTGAAATGATATAAATGTGCAGACAAAATGCAGAGTAAGAAAACTCACCATTAACGATTTATAATGTAAGAATACAAACAAGACAAAAACCTAAAACCAAAAGAAACGTTTGAGGATTCAAAGTTTCTCTGAATAGAACATGTGTAAGGCTCCTCCTCACTCTCACACAGAGCACATCTAAGAAATATGCAGATTGATGCATATCACCTGTGGTGCTCGACTTTCTGTAAACTTTGTGGTACTTAAGGACCAGGTAGGGCCAGACAGAGAGAGAGAGAGAGAGTGGAGACCAAGAGAGTGAAAAAAGGACGAGTAACGGGGGCAAGGAGGCAGGGAGGCGGGGAGGCTGGAAGGAGGGCAAACACTTTGAAATCTGAACCAGGTTGAAACAACAGGGCCCTCTCTTTACACGCAGTGACAGAGATTCATTAGCCAAACAAATCAGACCGAGCTGAGACTCCATTAGAGCCAGGAGAGCACAGCATCAAACCCTGCTGCGTACACAGAGCCACACTGACTGGTTGAAAAGGAAATTGTTCCTAAAAAATTATGTTTCAAAACGATGTAAAACATTAAGCTGTCCTGTGAAACGGGGACTCACCTTTGCTTTGCTGTCTTGGGCCGACATGTAACCGACACACATGCTCTCTGTGGTGTGACTCCAAAGGAACTCCACTGTGAAAATAAACACAGAAACAGGGTCAACAAATGGAGGAAATCAAGAAACATGAATATTCACTAATCGTTATTAACTAGTTAATGCTGACAGCTCTAATATATATATATACTATATTTAAAAAGGGAATGGGAGAGAGGGAGTGTGAGAGCAGATCGTCTCTGAGCTCAGACTCACTTCCTCCTCTTTGTTTCCCTCTGTCGGAGGAAAAGTTTGGCAGGTGACTCAGTGTGCTAAACTGCGGATAGCTCAGAGCGTGCCCATTATCGTGAAAATATATGACTCGGAGTTGTGACATAACGGCAGAGGAGGAAGAAGGTAGAACCGAGCTTGGAGCAGAAACTCAACTCCAGCACTTGGAGGATGTGGTCGACACGCTGTTTGTTCTCATAAATCAACACAGAGCTCCTCCGCCGTCCGCAGTAATCTGAGGCAGTCCACGCTCCATAAACGGCATCAAACACGGCCTACACATCAACCAGGAAGGGATACTTTTTATATTCAAACGGGCATAATGTGTAATATAAATAGGACTCCACTTGTCAAACGACGTCATGTTGAATTTGTTAGAAGTCGTCATGAGAGGAAACTTCTGCTGGACTTTGTTTTCTTTGGAGCGCAGGGCTCTCTATGAAACACAGTTACATTTACACAGAGAGCAAACTGTTTAGTCGATCACATGGCTAAAAATTTGGATGGATTTCAGATTACATGATGGTGTGTTTGAACGAGGAAGTTTCTGCTCTGCCTTTCAATCAGCCACACTGGGCAGCAGTCAGAGGGCCGACGCTTGCCTGCAGATTAGCGGTTGATTCCACAGTGGGAGGTCTCAGTTTGAATCCGAGATGAAGGGTGTGAAACCAGAGCCCTGATTGTGCAAGTTTAAACAGAGACCACCCTCCAGGAGAGCCAACAGAGCCTCCCCCCCTCCTGCAAATATATCTAATGATGCATTTAAAACAGTCAAATCTTTCCCGCTTGTGAGGTGTTGAGTGGAGTCGGATAAAGTGTGATAACGCCTGTGGTTACTCGTGTCTTACCCAGTATACCCTGAATATTTTGAGAAGGCGGCGCTTCCGCACATCTGCAGCAGCGCAGGACGATGACTCCACCCAGAGCGCGATCTTCACTGGCCAGAAAGGGCGAGCCTGGAGCGAGAAAGAAAAAACATCACACCTCAGATGATTCAATGAAGCATAAACAAGTTTCTCTCAAATCAGTAAAGTTTGTGTACATTCTGAAGTTCTCCACCCTGACTGTGTATTTCCACATCCAGTCCCTAGGTTCTGTGTTCTGTCAGCGCCACGGTTTTGCTACAATGAACAGCGCACACCATGACCAGAGAGTGAGCACAGCCATAAACAGCTGTTCACACATTACAAGATCACAGGAGAGCTACAAGATCACAGGACAACTACAAGATCAGAGAACTACAAGATCACAGAGAACTACAAGATCACAGGAGAACTACAAGATCACGGGAGAACTACAAGACCACGGGAGAACTACAAGAGCACAGGAGAACTACAAGACCACAGGAGAACTACAAGACCACAGGAGAACTACAAGATCACGGGAGAACTACAAGACCACAGGAGAACTACAAGACCACAGGAGAACTACAAGACCACAGGAGAACGACAAGATCACGGGAGAACTACAAGACCACAGGAGAACTACAAGATCACAGGAGAACTACAAGACCACAGGAGAACTACAAGATCACGGGAGAACTACAAGACCACAGGAGAACTACAAGATCACAGGAGAACTACAAGATCACAGGAGAACTACAAGACCACAGGAGAACTACAAGATCATAAAAGAACTACAAGATCAGAGAACTACAAGATCATAAGAGAACTACAAGATCACAAGAGAACTACAAGATCAGATCACAGGAGAACTACAAGATCACAAGAGAACTACAAGATCAGATCACAGGAGAACTACAAGATCACAGGAGAACTACAAGATCACAGAGAACTACAAGATCACAGGAGAACTACAAGATCACAGAGAACTACAAGATCACAGGAGAACTACAAGATCACAGGAGAACTACAAGATCACAAGAGAACTACAAGATCAGATCACATGAGAACTACAAGATCACAAGAGAACTACAAGATCAGATCACAGGAGAACTACAAGAGCACAGGAGAACTACAAGATCACAGAGAACTACAAGATCACAGGAGAACTACAAGATCACAAGAGAACTACAAGATCACAAGAGAACTACAAGATCAGAGAACTACAAGATCACAGAGAACTACAAGATCACAGAGAACTACAAGATCACAGGAGAACTACAAGACCACAGGAGAACTACAAGATCACAGGAGAACTACAAGACCACAGGAGAACTACAAGATCACATGAGAACTACAAGATCAAAGGAGAACTACAAGATCACAGGAGAACTACAAGATCACATGAGAACTACAAGATCAAAGGAGAACTACAAGATCACAGGAGAACTACAAGATCACGCGGGAATAAAGAAAAAAACGTGCACATGTTGCTTTGTCTTTCTGAGGATGATTTGTTGTTCATTCTGTAAAGTGATTGAATATACGATCAGGAGTCTGTATGTTGAGATTTATTTTGAAATTGACCGGGCGCTCTGTGCGTTTCCTCGTCCGACTTCCTGTCCGGGTCGATCTATTCTGTTCAGCTTGACATTGTTTTGTTTTCAGGCAAAGTTAAACTACTGAAAACATTTTATGTATTTTATCTTTTCAATAAATCATATTTCACTATTTTTACGAGCAGATTTCAGCAGATTATAGTTTTCTTCACACCTCTACAACTTTATGATGTTTTGGATGTCATGTATTTTGCCTAATTTACTGTACGGCACTTTGGTCCGCCTCGACTGTTATAAATGTGCTATATAAATAAAGTTGACTTGACTTGACATCATATTTTAATTATAAGGAAGGATAAAGTCCAGCTACATTCACTCCCACACCAGTTGAGCTTTGTTGCAAATAAAAAATATCAAATAAATCAATCATGTGAGAACCTTTAAAGCTTGCTGACGAAACTTCAGAGGCAAACATGAACGAGGTGTTGTGTACGAGAAGACTTGAATTGGCCGATGAATGTGGAGTAATAAAGAGGGAAGAAAGGCTTTCTATAAACAGCTAAAGCAGCTTTCTGTGATGTCTACACACAATAACAATTGGTGCAATTGATGAAAATGTATTTGTGTCTGCATGCAAGAGAGTCTTTGCTGAAGCTTTGGTTTCCATGTTGTAATGTTTCCTTTACTCCATAAAACATGGTTTTGTATTCGTTCTATAATTATAGAAAGGCTCGTAAATATCCAACACATTTAATAACGTCTTTGCATGTTGTAGGAGTTCAATCAGAACATTTGATGTAGAAGTATTTAAGATAAAACCTTAAGGAGGTGTAGTTCACCAAAGCCCCGTTTCCACCAAGCAGTCCGGTTCAGTTCGGTTCAGCACCCATTTATTGGCGTTTCCACCGTCAGAAGTTTGGGAATGGTACCAAAATAAGGGATCCGTACCGTCCTACTTTTTGGTACCATTCTGCTCGGGCGCCAAGGTTACCGATCTGACCTTAAAGGATCCCTTGTTTACTGTGTCCCGTTCTTCTTCTTTGAGCTTAATTAATAGCGGGCAAAACAGTTTTAGGCTGCTGTAACGCGGCTATCTCCATCTGACTTAAGCCTGATTCATGCTTCTTGTGGTCGGTCGGCGAGGTGCGGACGGTGCGATGTGGAAGGCGTTTGATACTGATTGCGCTCAGAGCGCTCAGAGCTCAACATGGTCCGCAGAAAGTACTTCTGGGCCCTGTAGCCAATCAATCGGTCGGCGGAAACCCGTCCGTGTTGTTACAAAATCTTGGAGGTGCACGGCTGGGCGCTCAGATCCTCCGCGGACCCTCCTTGAGCCGGCCGCGATTGAGCAATATCACCGCGCCGACCGCAAGAAGCATGAATCAGGTTTTACACTCCGCTTACCAAATAAAGGTACGGTTGGCTGTGGAAATGCAAACAAGATCAGAGTTTAACGTACCAAACTGGACTGAACCAAACCGGACTGCTTTTGGATACCTCCCACTTCACCAGTAGCTCGTACTGATGTGTGTACCATACTAACCAGTAACGAGCCTTCTGCAGGTTCACCTACAGAAACCATGTTACGACTTTAACTTCCTCTAGATGGTTGAGTTTGATCGTCTTCTCGCCAACCAGTTTGTCCTTCTTTACGGTTTTCTGCACAAAGTTGTAGGTTGGAAATATCCACAGGGTGCATGATGGGAAATAATCTAGTTGTAGTCCAGCAGTAAGTGACCCAAGAAGATCCCCAGTTTTTGTAAAATCTCAGACTGTGGCTGTTTTTCTAAACCTCCTGCTTCCTCCTACAATGCATTATGTAAACAAATATGAGATCCACAGTAAGCAAAAAAAAAAACACACGTTGTACTGATTCAGGAAGAATCTACAGTCTGCATCAAACCAGTCTTCCTCACGTGCCGTTTCCCACAATGCAAAGCGCCAGGTCAGGTTGAAATGATGGACAGCAACGTCCATCAAAACAGAGGAAAATTACCACAATCAGACCAAACCACACAAAGATACCACCAGTTATCTTCGTTGATTCTCTTGATTTCACTTCTGTTGAGTCATGAAACTCTAAATGAATCACTCAGATCCAGTGGAAGCCAAACACATTGAATAAAGTAGAAACATATCAGCTCCGCTGCCGTAACCGAGCGGAGACTGACCGAACATGCATCTGGTGACGGCGGCTGTATGACTCATTTGCAAAGATTTACGGGGAAACAAAAGTGGTGCATTGTTCTGTGAATCAGTCCCTGACAATTACTGTTTGAATCTTAAAAATCGTCGTCTTCGAAATATTCTATAAATAGAAGTTGAGTGAGAGGCGTCCAGATCTTTCACACTTTCATCGCTCCTCTTTCTAAGGCAGGATTTATGGAGCTTTGTTTAACTGGATGTGCATCTTGAAAGGAAACAGAAGAATTAACTTTATCCAGCTCGTCCAAACGTCTCACTGTTACAGATGTCCATGACAAAGCCGAGCTGGGACGGACTTCTAAAAGGAGGCCCCCAAAACAAGGCCAGAAACCGCCACATGTTTCCACATGTTCCTCCTCTGCTCTCCCAGCGGCCGGTCACAGATGCAGCAAACACAGTTAATGATGCTTTCTGAAACTGACCACTTCTGAGAATATGGCACACACAAAAAAAAACATCTTCACATGAACTTTCAACAAAGCAATTATGTCTTCTAAAAAAGGTCTGTGGCTGTCAGCTGTGATGTGAGGAACATCTGAAGGCTCCGTTTAAACAGTGTGAATGATCCATAAATCAAATCTGTCTCTCCTCATTCTATTATTTCCACTTGTTAGCTCATTCCTTTCCTCGTGTTACGCAACATCTGTTTTGTCCGTTTAATTCCATTCGTGCATAATTGTGTTTTGTGTTTCTTTGCAAACACGTTCTTGGCTGACAAACCCGTGTGTGTGGAAATGAGTGTGGATGGGGATGCATGTGGGTGACTCACTGATGAACTTGTTTTGCATAGCCTCCAGAAGTGCATGGTGGGCATCCTCAGACTGCATGGCAGCGGAGCACTCCCTCGCCAGCATGGTGCGAATCAGATGCTCTCCGCAGCCTGAGAGGAGACACACACGCACACACACACACTTTATAAACCTGTTTTTTCTGTGCTGCAGAATTGCACACCTTCACTCAAACTTGCAGAAGATCTTTAGCTGGACTGACAGATAAAAGTGAACACAGAATCATCTACACATGAACAAAGAATACAGTTGAATATTCACAGTTTTTGGTTTTGATCACATTTGATGTTTAAGTGCTGACACAAGTACAGAAGCCCTAAGAGGACATAATACATGCACCTGTGTCTTTTGTTTTTTCTTTGACCTGCTGGTTTCTCAGCCACTCCATCTCAGCCAGAAACGGTCTGAACAACATTAAAATCTGTTCTAAATTCATCGGCGGGAAACACAGAGATTTGAACTTGTTTTGTAACCTGCAGATCCTCTGAAAGGCTGACAGTAGTTTAGCTTCTCCTGGTCATGTGCTTTTTTAGTGGATTTTCTCTTTTGCCGTCAGGAAGTCTTGGTCATGTTTGACCTGTTTGTAAAACAGTTCTCTGCTGGAAACGTTGGACTGCAGGGGAGTTAGTCTCTGCATCAAGCAAAGGAGTTCAAGTATCTCGTTGTCTTGTTCATGAGTGAGGGTAAACTTGTTTGCGGGGCTGACAGGCAGATTGGTGCGGCAGCTGCAGTATTGTAGGCGCTGTGTGGAGCAACTTGGGGTTGTCTTTGCCCAGGGACACATCGGACATGTGGCTGCAGGAGATGGGGATCGAACCCTCGACCTTCTGGTTAAGAGACGACTGACTCTACCAACTGAGCCACAGCCACCTAGTTACCTTGAGAGGGATTTATAAAGTTGTTCTAATTGAACTGATGCATTTTATTTACGCTGCTCGCCCATGATAACAATTACATTTTGTTATTTTGTCTCCAGATCGTTAATATCCGAAGAAAACAAATAAATAAGTTTGAGATCCTGACAAAACAAACTAAATGGAATCATCGCCGCAGGAAAGCAGAGTGAATAAAATGTACTAATTTAATATTTTTGTTAATGAATAAATATGGTGATAAAGTTATATAATGGAAAAGATGACTCCGTTCACTAATTTCCTTTTTGAGCTCGTTTAAGAGGTTTAGTGCTACTGCAGTAATTAGATGAGCATTAAGCTTCATTATTTTAAGGTAAACATGACGGCGGCGTTTGTCTGCCAATAACAGCTGCCTTGCTCGAGGGTACAGCGGCAGTAAACGGCTGAAGCAGGGTTTGTGTTTCACTTTTCTCTGCCCAGAGTCACAGCTGCTCGTGGAATTTGAAACTGAAACCACCCAGTATTAATCGCACATCTGTGCTCTCGTTGGTTGAGAATAGAAACTTCACTATCACACATTTCTGCACAACCGTTTGTTAACTTGTATGCTATAATATGAGGTAGATATTATTTCCCGTCTCTGGTTGAACAGCCAAACACTGAACGTGCTGTTTATTTAAACTCAGAGTGTAAACAAGAAGGAACTATTTTTATGAGACCACTGACTAATAGTGGGGAGAGAGGACATAAAACAGCGGCAGGTTGGTAGAAGTGATGGAAGCCAACGTTAAACTAACAATCTTTATGATGCGTGAAGGCTGTCACAGACTTATCCTGCATTGCACACACATGAACAGATCTGCACTTTAAAGGTTATGATTGAAGGTGTGTTCAACAGAAATACATTTTCAAAAGTTGCTGAAGCTTAAAGGAAGAGTGTGAGACTTTTTGATCCAGTAGATGTCGCCCTTGAGCCCCAGCATGAAACCAAAATAAACGGCTGTTTGGCCACGCCTCCTCCATACTGAAGCCTCCACTCTCCTCCAGAGACACACCTCCAACCCCCCTCCACTGAGTTATTATCAATTAGAACGATTGATAGAATCATCCCTGGATCGAGTTGCAATCACCTGTGTCCTGCATTGTTGTGTTAGCATGCTAATGTTAGCGCTCTTTTGTTAGCTCGTAGCTTCACATTGTTGTGTTAGCATGCTAATGTTAGCGCTTAGCTTCACATTTCATGTAAACTGACACAGAATGAGCGTGATCTAAAAACTCTTACTAACATCCAAATAATCAGTGAGTATGTTCTTCTTCTTCTCTCTAGTTCTTGACTAAAACAGCTTTTATACACAAGGGGAGGAGCCGGCCGTCCCGTCCATGTAAACACGGCTCTGACAACAACACAGCCAGCGGGACTCGAGCTTCTCCCTCATTGTAGACAGTCAGGACTCAGAGACACATTTACACAGGACAGACTGATCTCTGAGTAAAATGTTGCACATTCTTCCTTTAAATGCTTAAATTTGTAGCAAATATCACTTGAAATGTTCTGATTCTCTTAAGTAGTCCTTTCCCAGAGCCTTAAGAGTTTTGCACGACGTTTGCATATATTTGTATGCGGCCAAGTTGACTGACAGGAAGGCTCGATTTGCACATTGTGTTTCCGCGTTGTGTATTGAAGATGAAAAGGCCCCAGGGGCGTAAATATCACGGCTTGACATGGCCGTTAACATGGCTAGTTATGCAGCATTTGGTGTAATCTTAAGTCAAGAGAAACTGAGCATCTTGTCAAAAGGCAAACCAGGAACCATAAAAAGCCAAAAGCAGCCTCTGCAAAGTATCTCACCTCAACCCTCAACCACTTCCAAGTCGACACATAGCAGGTGTGCTGTTTTATATCTCAGATTCTGCTACTGCTTAAAGGATCAACTTTTAAAAACAATATCTTCTTCTTGCAAAGCGAGAGACGGATATGAAAGGCTGTGTGCATGCTTACAATTAATCTTTCTGTGATGTAAAGTCTGCCCAGTCCCGAGACAAAGACGAGGAATCTAAAACTTTAAAAAACAAAATAATGTCTGGCAAAAACTCCTGTGAAAACCCATAAAGACTTACGAATACAGCCTTGTTGTTTCTGTAAACACAAATGAGTGCCCTATAAAACATCAGGTAACTACAACAAGACTGAAAAGCAGGTCTGTAACTGTGGAGACCAGAGGCCCGGAGCGATGAGAGGTTCTCATTTAACGAGAGCAGAATGTCAGATTGGCCAGGTACTCTGCCTTTTGTAACGTGTTCCCGTAAACCGTTAGGTCCCAGGGAACTGAAAATGGCAACACAAACACAAGAGTTTAACGGAAAACTGCGGGGAGAAGCCCAGACCGAAACGAGCGCAAAGCAGCAGAAGGAAGAAATGAGAGGAAAGCAGACGCAGTCAGTAAAGTAAAGACCAGACGAAGCAGGCGATGCATATAAAACAAAGAGCTGCACATGAGCTGCACAGAGAGTGACAGAAATAGTGAGGATCATGCTCCTCCTGTCAGGATCAAAATGGCTGTTTTTCTGCGTCTTTTGATGGGAATGCCTTTCATGTTAGGAAATTAAAAACAGGTGCCGTGCTGGAACACACATTGTGCTCTCCATACATACCCATAAGGAAAGCTTCTCTTTTTTTCTTTGTGTGTAACTTCAAAGGCTAAAGCCACAATATAGGAAAACAGGATGAGGTGAAAATGCACGCAGAGCAAAGAGCTACACTTCATCTGCTGGGATAATTGATGAGCAGGAGATTATCACGTGGTGTAACTGCTCGTTTTAAAATCCTAAAAAAAAATGAGCCGGAGATGCTGTATTTGAGTCTGAACACTGTGCATATAGATTAATCAGGTCAGTATGAGCTACCCTCAGTGTCTCTCAGACGGCTGGTGATGATACATTCAGACAAGCTTTAGCAGTGCAAAATGCTGGCTGTCTCAAGTCGTTCAAGCACATGTGAGTCAAGCTTCGGCCCGTCTGGTCAAATCAGCTCGTCTGCACTGAAATGCATTAGGCTACACATCCACTTCAAAAAGGTTTTAATGTTCCCCAGAAGCTCCATCGCAGATGTCTGCACATCTTAAAGAAGTGGTCCTAATATAGTCGCTCAATCTGAAACATTCAAACCATACTGCCTGGACGCTGGGATGGAGGAACACACTGGCCTGTTTTTTGGAAACAATGTCTTAATGACGCAGCCAGTCGGTCCTGAAAAGGAAGGATGCCTCTGTGCAGTTGCCTCCTCTATGTGTCTAATCTGTGATAGGTGGTTGCTTCTGTTTCTCTACCTGCAGACTCTCTTCTTCAGGAGGACTCTTGTGACGTTTCTAATTAATTTGGGGTGAATATACGGCGGATGTTGGAGGCAAAATGACGTTTTTAAATTGTAGGCAACAGAGAGTAATTTAGCTCTCCACTTCTGCATGAAGAGAAACCGTAAACACCACCTTCTGCATCAATCGCTCCTCCTCCCTCCGAGGCCGATTCTGCAGAGAGCGGGGGCAAAGAAAAGGAGAGAAAGGAGAGCGTGACAGGTGACAACTATAATTCATGACCGTGGCACTGACTGAGGTGGGGGTTTGCGAGGGCGGTGAGTGTCAGAGGCAGTAAACAAAACAAAGCAAAGACACGTCAGAAGATCCGCACAACTACAGAGGATAACTATGAACTTGCTAAACATGGATTTTTTTTTGCACAAAATATTTGTTCAATTCTTAGTTTTCTTCCATGCATTGTTTGTGTGAGCATGTGACCCCAAAAGACGAGGTACATATTGAACCGTGGGCGGATCTCCTCGAGGTATTCATCACCCAATCTGGAAATAAATGTAAAACAGTCGTCCTACCTATGCCAAATCATGCAAAAGTAGATAAATGAATACCACCATACACCAGGAAAGCCTTATTTGGAATCCTGAGATTCAAAGATCAGAATCAAAATCTCTGCACTTGAAGTTTGCCAGTTCTTCCATCTCTCCACTGCACTCCCAGCAGCTCTCCCTCTCTCATATCTCCAGCAGGTGTCCCATGTCAAATGTCACTGAAAATCCACAGAGCTTTGAGGAGCACCTGGCGTGCAGCTGACTAACAAAGAGCGGGGGGGAATGATGACTCAATCAAGCCGAGGAAGTGACTGATGAGAATCACTCAGCGGGAAAGCTTGGAGGTCATCGGAAAGTATTTTCAAAGCTTGACTCACTGGGGCAGAATAAAAAAAAAAAAAGTTTCACATCAAATATCTGTTTGTGATTCATATCAGCGCCCAAACAAAAAGGCAGACGGGGGGGGGGGTAAACACGAGCGCTGAGAGGACCATAACACGGTCACACACATGTAAACAACTGTGAGGTCGTTTGTGTAGAGAGAGAGAGAGAGAGAGAGAGAGAGAGAGAGAGAGAGAGAGAGAGAGAGAGAGAGCGGTGTATACCTGAGGTACTCACTGCTGTAGAGTAAGGGTTCATGTTACAGGCATTTTCCGCCCAGCAGCCACATCCATAATGAGCAGCCTGAGAAAAGAATGGAAAATTAGGAGACTGTGTTTCCATATTTCTGTTCAGGAAATGCTCTTAAATATCATAAATCCCCAGGTAAGTCTGAGCACAGCATGCTAATGCCTGAATGAAGGAATTAAAACAGGTCTGTCTCACATTTCCAGAACACTCTTTTTACCGTTATAGGAATTCATTCAAGGCTGTAAATTCTACTGGTTCGTTCCTTCTCTGTGGGGAAATTATTGAGAGTTCATTTTTCCCTGTTAGGCTGATGTTTATGCAGCTTCTAATGTGCTGTATTTGCCATTAAATAAACGATATGTAGGGATTTGGTTTGGTGAGCTTTGGCGCAGGTCTCAACTGCACAGACTCGTAAAACACACACAGAGCATTTAACTCCGCCCACTTCTTAGTGACTTTTGTTTTTTAAACTGAACATTAAGGGCCTGAAAAATGTTTTTTTTTGTTGATTGTATTGTTTTACCACTGGAAGAGTGAGAGACTGAACATATTTTGTTTTGATCAGAGTTGCTGGGAATATATTTTTGTGTTGTTGGGTTTTTTTGTTTTATGTTACCTAATACAAGAATGATTTATTGAAGTGAACTTCTGTGGCAGTTTCTGTTTCATTCTGATTATTTATTTATAAGGTGGTTTCGTTTAATACTTTTACATCCTTTGTGTTGGTTTTTTGACAATCAGTGTGGTGACTTAAAATAACAAACCAAAACGACTTTTGGCTGGCACCCCAGAAATCAAACAAATTAAATTAAAAGTCTTGCCACTAAAACCGTCACACAACATGTGTTTGTTGACAATCAGAGGGCGGAGGAGCTGGCTTGTATATTTATATTTAGTAACCAAAAAAATGTGTTCCGTAAATATGTTATACTGTAAATAAATATATAGAGGGTGCCGGATTACCTGCCCGACCCTGCCGGGATGTTTCATTGCGAGGCCTCCGCTGGACACCGCTGCAGCTACATTCCCCTCCAGGTCCACAACCACGGCGCCCACTGTGTCGAGGCACCCTGGACCATTTTCCTGCATCACAGTAAGGAGAAGAGAGGAGTCACATAACAGATGCCTAGAAGTCTTTATTTTCAGATGAGAAAAGTTCATGAGAATTTCGGGCAGAACACATGAGGACACATCCAAACATTCCCCGATCTGAAGCGGAGACGAGGGGCATGAACTTACACATTTATGATTCCCTCTCTTTGCTCTTCATATTTCATCAAAGATGTTGTGATTTCAATCAGCTCTCTTTTCTTCCCTGATTGCAGTTTGCTTTGGAAGCGACTTGTTTGTGAACCGTTGCGACTCAGACTGCGTGATGAATAGAGTTGTACAGGCTAAATGTGCAAAATGGCATCAGGACACACGATCCGAGCCCCCCCCTCCTACCAGAAGGGATTCTTCACTGAACCCTGGAACTAAAACTACAGAGTAAAAAAAAAAGGCAAATATGTCTCATCTGTCTCTGGCTCTCCTAAATCAGCCATGTCTCCGGGCTTTTCAAGGCCAATGAGAACAAGAGCCAGCGATTTCCTGTCAGCCCTTATCAGCGTGCGTTTAAGAAAAACACGGTAAATAATCGCTTTAGAACTTAAAGGCGTCTTTGTAAAGCACTTTAGATCCTCCAAATCTACACCACAACTTGAATAATCACAGGACAGGTGCGTGTATTGCGCTGAAGTGAAATGAATGAAACGGCTTTTATTGCTTGGCAGAAACACAAGAGAAATAAAAAAAGAACATTCTGTCTGAAAATCAAAACCAGACTGCAATCACTCTTCTGTTGTTGCCCCCACCAAGTCTCTTATACAAGATACCAAAGGAGCTTATTCCTCTTAATTGACTTTATATGTCCAAGGAAGAGGAAAGATGAAGCCTAATTTGGGGTGTGGGCAGTAGCTCAGTCTGTAAAGGCCCTGACACACCAAGCAGATGGCTAACAACTAGTGGTGTCACCTCACGTCTTGGTCAAAAAAGTTGCACTTGAACACACCGCAAAGACTACAGCCGACGGCCAATCACCACGTACATTCTGCACATGCATGAGAGGAAATAACTCTCCATGCCAGCAGGGGGCGGTAGTCCGTTGTTTATGATACCAGAAGACCATTTTCACACCGCTGTCAGTCACCACTCGTATTATAGGTCGTCTACTAATGGAGAATAATGTCTGATAAAAAGTAGAAAATGGCGCCGGTGTTGTCAGTTCTTGGTCTTTGAGTGGAAAAAAGAAAAGAAGAGGAGGAGGAGACAAATAAGGAGAAACCACACTAATGGGTGAAAGCATGGATACTACAGAGACATGCTCAAGAGGCTTTAGAGAACCTGTGAGGAGAGCTGGAGAGAAATGAAACCTCTGAACAGCCAATCAAAGAGATTCCTCTCACCGACCACCGATGCGGCCTATCGACGGAGCTGGACACGCCTCAAAAACTAGGGCAACAATAGCTCACTGACGGTCCAACAAGGACTGACGGCCGACGATCTCCTTGGTGTGTCAGGGCCTTAAAGTCTTGGGTTGGGAACAGGAGGATCAACGGTTCAACTGTACCCAATCTGGAAATTGGTCTGGTGGCTGGAGAGGTGTCAGATCACTTCCTGAGTATTGCAGAGGCGCCCTTGATAAAGTCACCGACCCCCCACCAGGTCAGGAGCGTGCGCTGACCCTAACCCTAACCCTAGCCCCCCCCCCTCACTCTGACGTCTCTCCATAGGATCCTGTTTGTGCATGTGTGTGTATTTCAGCCTATATGTGTTTAGCATGTTAAATAAAAGAGGGTTAAATTAAATTTCCCCTCCCAAGGTCAATAAAGTTTATCTTCTTCTTCTTCTTAATGTACGTACAAACATCCTAAAACGCCAGGCATGGCATGTGCATGAGCAGAGTCAGTATGTGTAGCAGCTTTGTCCAGATTTATTTGTAACTTGAACGCTCACATATTCATCTTTAATCGGTCAAGAAGTTTGTGTAAACATGGGAAAAATGGAGAACATTAGGCAAATCAAACCTTAAACTCTCACTGGGACGACTGACCTTTGGACAGAAATATGTGTGATGTGATCGTTCATCACTCGCCTGAGTCAACAAACAATCCGTCCTCGTTGTTAGTCTGTGATTTGTACGGACGCATCATTAATATCATGGATTGATTGAAATGAAATAACTGTTCCAATGTATTTAAACGTTTTGGCTCCTTTTAACACAGCCGGACCAACAGAAACTTTCCCTCCTTCTTCTTCTGTGAGACTTTAGAGACTTTCAATCTTTCCTGCTTCTGACTCGTCATCAGGACGCTCTCCAGTTGTGCTCTGGTGAAACTTTGCACCGACACTTTGATCGTTTCTTGGAAATCTTTGCGCAAACTGGTGACAAGGTTTTTCTTTGTTGGCCCAGTAAGAATGTGAGATCATAACCGTCAAAGCAAATCTTCTTGTCTCAGACGTACAGTAAGACACATTTCATGTCTTAAATATCAAATTAAACTTGATGTTTTCTGCACTATTGATAATTTTTTTGTGGCCTTTTTGCCTTTTTCAGATAGGACAGCTGGGAGGAGAGAGAGTGGGCGGGTGCAGCAAACATCTGAGGTCGGATTCAGACCTATGGCCACTGCAAGGAGGACTACAGCCTCTGAACATGAGGCATACAACATAACCGCTAGGCCATCGGCACTCCTGCACTTTTCTATTATAAGCTTGATGCCATTAATTCCTATAAATATCAGCACGACGGCCTGGGTCCAATCTGTCTTTAAATTGATCCAGGTGAGAAAGAATTCACTTGACTCACATGTTCACTCGGTTGTCGTCTCTTCTTTGTCTGTTTGTGTCCGGTGTCCAATTTCTCCGCCAGCTCCATCTTCCTCTTGTTCCTCTTGTACGCGGATAAACTGAACTCTGCAGAAAACAAACATCCCTAATTAGTCTCAAGCAGACGGATCCATGTTTCTGAAGCAGGTCAACAAAAACTCACTGGTGGCCATCTTCTCTGATGGGCACGGTGGTATCCCGTGGCTGACAGCCCAGTCATGTGCTCCTCGCCCCACTAAAAAGCTGAGAAAAGAAATAAAACGAGATGTCAATAAAAGAGCACATTAGGTAACATCAATACTATATGATTTAAAACAGCTGATAATCACCAGGGAGGTATCCTGCCAGCTGATAGTTTCCCTTTCTGTGCTTCGATCAGCAGACGGTTTGCAACTAACACCGGGTTCTTCACGCCTGGAGGGAAAGTCAGAGTTTTACCTTTTCAATGAAACACACCTTCCTGAAGTCTGAGAGCTAAAGGAACATAGAGGTGAGCATGTATACTTTTTATATCAGAGCCAGAAACCTTTAATACATCATGCACAAGTTATGAGGCTGGATGTTACATGATGCAGCGTTTGGTAATAAAAAACAATCTGTGCCAGTTTTCACCCCTGGGCTGCAGCGTGGAGAAACTCAGCAACTCTTTCAACATGAAGCCTTTCAGGAAAACTCTTAGAGAGACTGCTGACGTGTAAATATAGAACGTCTTGGGTCATCTCCAGGAAAGAAGAATCAATCAGTCAATCAATCAATCAATCAATTTTTATTTGTATAGCGTCAACTCATAACAAGTGTTATCTCGAGACACTTTACAAAAAGCAGGTAAAATACCTTACTTATTGCTATATTACAAAGACCCGGCCTATCCATCATGAGCACATGAGCAGCAAGAATGTAGGTGGTCTCCTGTTGTGAGGATTTAAGACGCCAAATATTTAATTTCATATTTGATTTATTTGCTCATTTCAGTGTATGGTTTCAACACAATAAAACACAACAAGAAATATTTTCTCATAATACTGAAACACTGTTCATGAGCAAACAGGAGCAGGAAGAAGAAAACTTATAATACCTGCTCCTTTCCTAATAACACAAGATAGTGTTTAACGGAATAAGATGGCTGACCTGTTGTTTTCTCTTTCTTTAACAAAACAAAAAATTGATCAACAATATAGAAATAGCTTTCGTAATCTCTAAAACAAGCAGTAGTGGAGAGGAAATCATTCAATTTAAGGCGCACTCATACTAGGCACGAGCATGTTTGACCCCCAAAGTCCAGTTCCTCTCACTAAGGTGAGTGCTTCATCCGTGCTCAAGCCTGGCACGGATGTAAGAGGTGTGATTTGGCACGCTACGGTTGCTCATGCACGAGCACAAGCACGGGTTCATAATGTGGACATGAAGTATGGATTCCCACCTCCATTATCAAAAACTCCTGGAGTGTTCCGGCTGTACCAACTAACATGACCCAAAATAATCCATAAAGTCAGTAAAGTAGCTGCCATGTTCGAGCTGAGTTGAGTTTGAAGTTTATTTTGGACATGTGAAAAAAATTTAAATAAAGAGAGAAGAAAAGAATGTAATATGTACAAAAAATGAAGGACATCATACAAAATAAGCTCTTAAATACGTTCTACATCAATTTAGACGTCCGAAAGGGGGTGGGAAGAAGTATAAATTTATGTAATCCCATCCCCTTCTCCATTAATTTATACATTTTATCTATAAATGTGTGTAAACACACCCTTCAACAACTGTTTACATGTGAACACGTTCTTATTTAGGGAGGCAAAAGAAAACAAAAGGAAAGAAGACAGAAGGAAAAAGACAAAAAAACAAACTGAACAAAACATGTTCAATAAATAAATATGTAAACAATAACAACATCTCAGCAGTGTTTCATAAACATCAACACATGTGTAGTAACTCACCACTCAAAGCTCCTACGGCACCGTAATGCAGCGTCTTCCCATCCATGATACTCGCGTCGCATTCGATTTCTCCTGACAGATTAAGGTTGGAGCCCATGCCCGCGTTTGTAAAAGGAGAGTCCTGAGAACAATTAAAAACATGCAGAGTCTGGAATCAAACTTTTTTTGTAATCAGCTGTGCTGTCGAAGATGATTTCTCACAGGGGAGTGTTGTAATGTCATTTAAATTCAGCTAAAGAAATCGTTCACACAGTTCAAAGCAAAGAGGCAGAATGTGAAAACTAAGAGTCCAAATTTATCATAAATCTTTTTAAAGGTTATAAAAAAAAGTCCAGCTGAATGTTTTTGATTTCTCTGTTAAATACTCGATAACAGTTCTCTGAAGCTGTTTGGGATAAACAAATACACACGTAGAATTACATTTCTTTATGTGTTTTTTTTACTTTACATAATCAAACCCGGATCAAACCTCGAGCTCCACCAGCGCTGCAGCCACTGCTTCCACAGCGAGCGCCCCGCTTTGAGCCGATCCACAGCCTGGAGACGGGACACAGAGAGAAGTGGTTATGACATGACGACTTTCCCCTTTATGACACCAGATACACACATTACTCAGTTAGCTTTTATACTAAACACAAATCTGTTCTGTGACACAATGATCAGATATTCAAATCAAAGACAAAATGTACCGCTCTCCATTGAGTCTTTAAGGTACATTTACAGCAGAGATCAGCTGGTCATCATCACATTAGAATTCTGATCACTAATTCAAAGTGTGAAAATGAAAACATGTTATGAAGAGGACAGAAGTTGGTTGTAAGATTTAAGTCACTTTGATTGGACATTGATATTAATATACACGTTTTTTTTCTTTTCTTACGATGTGTTGACCTTCTGGACTCTGGGTTTTATGTGCAATAAGGATCCTAGATTTATGATATCCTTTATGCTCAGTGTGACGGGGTCCTCTTTCAATCCACCCAAAAACTTAAAAACAGGCGTAGTCGCAGACTGTAAGTGAAGTGTTTTTATTTTTGCCGGCCTCCCAAAGTGCAGTGATAGATATTTACAAAAATGCAAAAAATGCAAAAACAGGAAAAAATGGTGTTTAGACTATTTAAACTATTTACCAAACAAAAGTCGTCCAAATCCACATAACTCAGCAAACAAACTGTACTTCAAGAAAATAAACTCTCTGCTGTAACATGTTACCTTCACTGTAACCATCCTAGACTGCTTGAAAGCAGCAAGCAGCTCTCTTTTAAACACAAGAAGCCCCTCCCACTGGGCATTATAAATTGCCTAATATTTTAAAGAAACACATTACATTCAGTTTCCTTTCTAAGTATGAGAAATAAAAAGCAGTAAAAATAGATTTTTGAAGATAGATTGACCTTAATTTGAAGTCCAACATTTACCTGACACATTCCTTAAGTGAAGCTAGAGCTATGGCGGGACCATGAGGTCGTGTTTGAGTGGTCAGGATGTAAGGAACGTGCAAGAAGAAAAGGAACAATGAATAAAACCAAATACGAAGAGAAGAACCTGCTTCAGTGAGCCAAAGAACAAAGACTTCCCCGCCAACAGCAAAATAATCTTAATAGAGCCAAAGGAAAAACTGGACGGACTTCAGAACAAGAACAACACAGTGCTGCAGTCGTTCTGCCAAAACACAGATTGGAACCCCACGGAAAATATGTGCAGCGACAGCTGTTCACAGATGCTTCCCATCCGACCTGACAACACTGACGAAGACAAAAGCTATCTCACTTACC